GTGCCTAACAACGTCTCTTAGCTGTTATAAATTCTCTGTAAACCACGGCTTCACGGGGCTTATTGCTTTTATAAAACGGTTATTCCATATACGTAGTAAGGTTTCACAAAATAAAACAGAGCAAATAAAGTTTAATGATATTAATAAAAACAGTATTCTTCCACCAAACAATGTAGTTCCTCAGAAACAGTTGTGTTTCCAACAAAGTGGTTGCCGAGCAACACACAGAAGTAAACAAAGATGTATGTTTGTAGAGTAATTTACAACAGCTTCGAACGCGGCTCAGCCAATCAGAATCAAGGGCCGGAACTCTCCGTTTTATAAGGACGCATATGACCGCTGCATCTTTTGCAGAATCTCGCACATGAGCGCTGTGTTGTTAAGACGCCGTGTCAAGTTAAAAGAATCTCAACTTTTACAAGCAGCGCCTCTCATCAATGTCAGCTCCAAAACAATGGACCAATCAGAAGACCACGGAGGCGGGGCGAGTGTTGCGAGCATTTGTTTACAGTAGCAAGTTGGCATGGCAACTGTTTTATTTGATGGCAACATGGCGGAGAAGGCACTCATATCGGCTGTGTCCAGATACCCTTAATTATGTAACATTTCTTCAAGCAATTATCACAACCGATTTCTTAAAAAACGAGCCTGGAGAGAAATATTTCTGTTATTACATCACCTCTCCTGAGCGCTGTGTCTCGCGTTTTAGTCACAAAGACACGTTCTGTGTGAACGGTAGGGGTGGGAATCTATGGGTATCTCACGATTCGATTCGATTACGATTCAGAGGCCCACGATTCGATTACGATTAACGATGCATCACAATGTTGTACCATCTATGTAAAATTCTACTACTTTTTAAACAACCACAGAACTCAAGGGTGAAGCAAAAAAGATATTTCACACTATTACTTTATTAACAGTGTGCAAGTGCAATATTCAAAAAGTGCCAGTAGCAGCATTTGCTGTAACAAATAGAAAACTGACAGCATTAGTCTGTCTGTAACTTCTTATAAAATAACACTTGTTCAAAAAAGTAGCTTAGCAATCTGCTTTACAGTAACATGTGCATTTTGATGCATAAAAATGCAATATGCAGCATTATTATTTCAAGTAGTCTGATAGACCGTATAACTCATGTAACATCAACAGCTGCCTCTATATACCAAAACATGAACTGAGAAAAATGCTGTAAACCAAAACTGCTTTGATATTCAAAACAAAATTTAAGTAAAAAAGCAATGTGTGTAACAATAATAATAATGATAACACGTAAACGTGCTAGTAGCGCATGCACTCATCTCTTGTGGCCGTGGGGCCGACAAATTCCGATAGAATGTATTGCAAACGAGCACAAATCTGCCTTTTTTCATTTAAACTTAAGACATCGATTATTTAAATCTCTGCATCGATTCAGAATCGTTTAATGCGGAACAATGATGCATCGAAAAAACGATTATTTTTCCCACCCCTAGTGAACAGCCCCTAACTTTTTTGACAGTAAATGTGCAAAACAAAGATTTAGTATGCAAAAGCACTATATAGGTATCATAAAAGTGTCCCTCATGACTCATGCGCTACAATCCAAGTCTTCTGAAGCCTTTGTGTGATGAACAGACAGAAATTTAAGTCATTATTCAGTGACAATTCCTCCTTATAGGTTTCAAATATCTGTCATCATATATTGGTTTGAAACCTTATAGTTATCACATGGCTTCAGAAGAATTAATAGTGCACAAATCTTATATCATACTTTTATGCTGCTTTTCCATCATTTTTTGAAGCTTGAAATCTTCAGTGCCCGATTATTGTAACTGCATGAAGGCAAATGAAATTATCATTTTGCACATAAATAAATCAAAAACAAACATTTAAATACTATTCCCTTCCATTAATGACACCATTCTGTTAAAGCTGAGCAGAGTCTGGCCTACCTTTTCAGACACGGAAGCGAAGCCTTTGGTGGGGTGCTGGGTCCTCATGTCAAACACATGAAACTTGCCCTCTAAAGATGTTGCCACTAGTTTGTTCATGTTGATGTCTTTTCTGTCAAATTCAACAGAGCACACCTGCCAAAGACAAAAAATGCACAGAAGTCTTTATCTGTTACACTACATCTACTCTAAGCTAGATTGCTCCCACTGTAATGAAGCAGCTCTCTACACCAGACGCCCCCGCTGCGTCGTGCTGCGCCTTCACTTAGCGGAAACCCTGTTTCTATTCCTGATGTGCTTCTCAGCCACTTCACAATCCCTGGCCATCTGACATTTAAATCATATCTGATGGTTAAATCAAAGCCAGTTTGTTACAATTATGGTCTCCTAATTTAAATCATCTTTTATTTTTAACCATATTTATACACAGGCAACGTTGTGCAAATGCATTTCAGATGAAAGTGAATGACTAAATGACATTGATTGGATGTTATTTTGATGTTGCTGTAGCTGAAGTGTACTTGAGCACACAGCTGATTGCTCTGTGGTTAGTGAACACTCACTGTCTACACAGGCAGCTCGACAGCACTGATTAGGTGTCGGGAGGTGTTTAATAATGTACACTGAAATAGTTTTGAAGAAGCAACATGCAGAAATCCAAGCTAGGGATGTAACAATTCACCCCCAGCCGGCTGAAAATCATGTGATGATTCAAGTGGTTTGAGATGTTAAACGAATGGCGATAGAGCTGCTGGTGGGGGTTTATATTGAGGGGAACTCACTGTCTTCAGAAGAGGTTAGATGGTGTTTTTTTTTCATCTCGTCTCTGCATGCATATAAAAGTAGTGTTTATAAGCGCAGCGCTGCTTTGTTTACAGCGGTAACCAAGGAAACACTGTATTGCTGGTGTTCCATCAGAGCCGTTGAGAAACAGAGTTGCGACATGCTTTGATCTCACCGCCATGCGCTCAATAGTTCCGAACAACTCCGCACTGTCAATCTGTTTGAATGGGTTTAAACAGGACAGACAGCAGTTTCAATATATATTTGCAGCAATTTCTAGTAATTATTAACACAAAGTGCACTAATAACTAAGCTGACAATAGCATTTTATTCTGGGGAGTGATAATGAGACGGTATTAATATGCTCTCCTACTCTTTGGCAGTCAAATGTGACCAAACACCTCAAGTGTAACTTTTAATCAATTAAATAATTGTACTATAGTTTAGTTCAGTTCTATTTAGCTAATATTTTGAGGACATTTTTGGTACTAAATAATGTGTGCAATAATTATGACCCATGAATAACCATTTAAAATTTAACATTTTCTAATATGTTTATTATTTATATTACAATTAGTGTAGTATTTAGGGTTAAAATAGAGAAAACTTTTTTTTTTTTTTTATTCTAGTGCAAAGAGGCAAATTAGAGGCATTTGGTGGCCGCAAAAATAATATTCATATGTAATGCCATCATTTAACTACTAGATGCCCATATGGCTGTTTAATAAATATAGCCTACATGTAGTTAGGTCTACTCTAGCTGCTAAAAAGAGTATTGCCGGTCATAATTGCTTATTTTTTTTAGGTTTGGAATTTTTATGTATATTTAGACATTATCAAACAATCGATTTTTATAAGTTTAGATTTTTTTTTTAAATGTTACATTTAAAAAGGTTAATTACATCCCAGTGTTATTTTATGATATTCACATTAGCATACAACGTAAGTGATTAAAGTGAATATTAAAAAGGCAAGCAAATACGGAATTTAACGCAATAAAAAAAGTTTAAAAACCAATTGCATTCAGCGATACTCTTTATTGTATTCCTTGAATGGGCAGTCTTCATTGAAACTCATTCAACCTTATACAGTTAGAGAAAGATTGCAGAAAGCCTTAAAAATATGACAACTAGCATTTGGTTATGGTCGCTATTAAGATGTTTCTCACGTTATCTAACTGCAATTATAGTATAACTGTCTATTATCTAACGATAAACGTTAACTATAATGTGCTTCATAAAATAACACTACTGGCCAGATTTCTGAGAGGTCAACTAATGTGTTAAAATGTCAAAAAATGCTGTAATTTCTTGAGAAACCCTGAATGAATGGGCTTCAGTGCTGGAACTATTGGCTGCTCTGTGACACGCTTTGCTTCCGCATTCCTCAGTTCCTACGGAAGCCTATGGGAGTGTCGCAACTAGGGCTGCACGATTAATCGAATGCGATTGTCATGCGCATTTTGTTAGTAAAGCCGGTTCTGTAATCAGCAGGAAATCATCATCACGTGCTTTCAGATGGAGCAGAATTTACTACACATAGCCGTAGTTCACTGACAAGTTACGCGAAAAAATCGCAGACGATTTTACTGCGCGATTCTGAAATCGAAGAAATCGTTCGCGATAATGACAGCTGTATGCATAACTTCTCAGTGAACTACGGCTCTGTGAAGTAAATGCTGCTCCATCTGAAAGCATGTGAAAATACCACATTTAATAACATATTTTTACTCCAAACTCACTTCATAACGTCAGTCGAGTGTTTGAAATAAATCCTTCTCTGAGATGACGTGGCTTCTTACACAGAATAAGGCACGCAACATATTTCATAGTATTCTAAGCAGTGATAAAGGCATTGCATTATAAATATACTTCATTTTAATGAAAATTATAATAAGAACTCAGATAAACCGTATATTGCCGTAGTCGTGTGTTTATTAGTCACGTTGAATCAATAAAAGCAGTTAAATCTTCTGTTTATCCAGCTACTGCTATAGGCATTTCCTGGGTTTCTTCTGCAAGGCGTATTTGGAGTTTCAGCGCGAGAGCGCCCTCTGGCCTTTGGATGGAGATTTACTGCTGATCACAGAACCGTGCTTCACTGAAAGATACGCATGACAATCGCAGCTTCTGTCGAATCGCGATCTCGATTCAATTTCGATTTATCGTGTAGCCCTACTAGGCATGTTGATTTGCTAACGCTAATTTTTCCACAAGCCCGGGTGTCTTTCCTTTAGTTTTTCATGTTACTTGAGTCAGTAGCTCCTATGATGCTTCTCTAGGGTAAATATTCATATCTCCTGGGGGAACAACAAGGCTTTTAGAAGCTGATTTGCCAGAGGATGTTGTTACTTGTATTTTGCAACTTACATAATCATATGTTTCTGTGGTGTTTAGTAAAAAACAGCAGCTTTGAACAAGTCAATTACTTTGTGCAACAAGACTTCC